CACACACACACACACACACACACACACACACACACACACACACACACTTCTGCAGGAGCAGGAGTTTTAACGCTATAATAATCCATTTTATTTATATAGATGCTTTTCAAAAATAACTGACACTTTACACTGTACAAGAGGATTGTTTATGTGCTCGTGTCAAGATTATTGTCAGACAGCACAAACTTTGAAGCAATGTTTGCTCAGAAAGAGCAGAAAAGAAAAGAATCGTATTTTGTATTAGTGCACCAAAAACGAATGCATTCTCCGTTGTAAAGATCTGAAGAAAAGTATTGAGTGACATTTATAAAAATCAGTCTTTTTGTATAGATGACACACTTCAATAACTGGAAGCTAAATACATATTAATTCCCTTTAGTGGAGCTTTTAAGCATTATTTAGGCTTTCTTTGTATTTACATGGCTGCCATCTATTTTAGCAATAGTTTGAGAGTGAATTTCACAACTCAAAACGAAGTAATGACACATGGACTGAACCCAAGGCGTTGTTTCTTCCAAATAGGCAAAGCCAGGAGTAGCTTTATTTTGCTATTTCAACAGGTCTGACAGTAGAGTAGCCATAAGAACAGCTGTTTTTAGACAAAGTTTGATAAGCAAGCACCGCACCAATAAATCAATCTATGAATCTATGAAACAGTGAGTCATGTTTGCCAGACTGGTCTCTGCTGTTGGCCTATTTAAAATACATACTTAGTGTACGGTAGTTTAAACCCAGCGAGTGGTCTCGCAGGTGTGCTGTACATTCCTTCAAACATTGAACCAATATTTAATTTAAAGTAACAGTGTGTGTGATTATTGTGGTCTTTGAGGAGTGTGAAAATGTCTCTGGGTGATCCTACATGTTGTTCATTCATTCTTATCACCCGGTGCTCGTTGGCCGGTGAACATAAAGGGATTGTCAGGAGCTGTAAAGAGGGCTTATTGTTACATTCCTGCACCGACCACAGCGACAAACCGATGCTCTCCCCTTCACACAGTCACAGTTTTTTGGCAATTAATTCTTCTAAATTCTCAGACTACTTACTTTTTTTTTTGGGGGGGGGGGGGCAAAACATTTTGTTTACAGTTCCTGCAAACAGCCGATAAGTGTTAACCTTTGTCCCTGCAATGCAGTGACTGTCTCCAACACTGTTGCTGTCTGTGTGCCTTTATCAACTCCACATCACTAACAAAACAAAAAACATCTAGATGCCAATATTGCAGTGGGGGAATAACAGCATGTCTGCACTCATCACTAGTTATTTTTTGAGTATTTCTAAACACTCGTGTGTGTAAAATGTAATTGCACTGACTACTGTAAATGGTGTATCATTTGTATGTAGTGTATTGATAATCAGTTCTACTTGTTGTACCTATGGATCTCTATCACAATAAGAAAAATTAAGAAATATTAAATTTGATCCATTTCCCCAGTGTCTTGGCACAATAACAGAATTGTTGGTATTGATATCCTCACATTCAATAGACACATTTCTATAATTAAATACAAGCCTGCAGTTTATCATTTGAGGATTCTTTGCATAATTCATATTATCTTAAGTATATTACACAAACATCTGTACAGATCAGTCAGCCGTGTATTCAAACAATTTGACACGATGAAAATGCTTTGATAGTAAATATGATGAAACGTTATAACCAGTGTTACTCACCCTCTCCGCTCGCTCGAGGACAGCTCATCACAAAGCAGACAGCGGTCAAAACAAAACACAAAGTCCGGAGCCTCATGACTGAGTCGGAATAACACGCCATCCAGCACTATTCCGGCTCAAAGGCAGAGTAAATCCTTTGTCGAGGAGGACAGTTCAGACTGGAGGAGAAATACCTTCAGGAAATTGGTTTTGTTTTGCGACGTGGGCCAACAGGTAAACAACAATAAATAAAAGACATCCCGGAAGATGGGCGGAGGAACGAGTCCAACGTGTTCAATCAAACACAAGCTAACATCGCTGCTGCTGCTAAAGTTAGCCACCTCATGGAGAAAGCACCGTTAACACCCACCACGGGGCATACGTGTCCCCTCTGCGTCCTTAATGGACAAACTGTTCCGGTTGAGTGTGTCTGTGTCCGAGGGGGGAAAAAAAACAAAACAAAAAAACAGACTTGCTGTTCCGAGAAGAAGCTAACGGCGCTAGCAGACAGCTAAGCTAAGCTAGCCTTAGCTCCACCACTGTAGTCCAAGGCCACAAGTGAAGTTTGAGCTGCTTTTCACAGCAACTGTCTCAATTTAATGTCAACTTTAAGAAACGCCGCGCACACCGCACCACCGCAGTGCATATTCCCGATAACAAGACATACGTTGCATGCGGGGGAAATCGTAGTAAAAGGCGACCGTTAAACTTTAATTTAGAGGGATATTTCGGAGCCGTTTTGCTGCTGACTCGGTGATTGTGGCATGCGTGGCGTAACGTTAGCGTGTCTCTCGTAAAAAAAAAAAAAAAAAAAAAAAAAACACACGATTCTCAAGCTCTGCAGCGAGCACAAACCACCACAGTCGGTTTATTTCGACGGTGAAATAATGTTCTTTAGCTCCAGAGAGACAACTCCTCTTCAGTCAGTGCAGAGATTTCAGCGAAGATCTCCTCTCTCTCTCCCTCTCTGGAAGGTTGACAGACGGGCTTCGTGGCTTCGCAGCTCTCCGCTCTTCTCTTCTTTTCAGGAACAGAACGTAAATACTAATGTTTATGTTGCGAGTTGTGTTGACGCTCCTGTTACCACACTCGGGCTTGAAGTATCAGAATGAGAGAGAAGTAGGTCGAGATAAAGTTTAGGAGTTGTTTTTCTCCTGCAGACAGAGGTAGGTTGTACAGTGTCGCTCCTGTAGGATTCTTCTTCTTCTTCTTCTTCTTCTTCTTCACAGCCTCTCCGCCAGTAAACAAACCTTTGCCAGTGAGCCAGATGGGCTTCAGGGGAAATACGGACTGGAGCTTATTGGATTACACAACCAAACTGATCCTCCTTTAACGCGTAAAACAGTAATTCATCTACTTCTATACCGCTGCTTTGTAGCGTAAAACACTTGAAATATGAATTACAGAAGGCTGCTAGGGATTCATTTAAATGTGAGTTTAATATGACCACATTATGCCCACTGTACAATAAATCACCTCTGGCCAAATCAAACACAAACTTTAACACCGTTACTCTGTTGTTTGTTGTTTGGTGAAATCTTTGCACTACTGTTTAGTTAGTTCATTTAATATTATTCTATTTCATTGTATAAATTGTGCATTTTTATTTCTAATATGTTTACTCTTAGTCTTATTGTATATATTGTGCATTTGATATTTGCATTTATTGTTACTCTGTTATTTTATTTACCTGTACCATAATTAAAATATCATTAAAAAAGTATCTATCTATCTATAAATACAAATACACCAGAAGGGAACATCGATGACTCCGTTGAGAGAAAGATGATCGGCAACTATTTTGATAATTAATTAAGTAATGTAAGTGAGTCAATTTCAAGCAAACATAGTGAATTTAGGATTTGCTGATTTCCTTTGTATATGAAAATACGTTTAATGTTATTAGGTGACTACCTCCCTGTTGTCATCACCGTTAAACAGTGATCAGTACTTTTTATAGACGAAACAAATTACTGATTAATTTATTAATTAAGAAAATAAGGGATATTGAAAATGTAATTAGTTGCAGTCCGAAAATACAACACGTTTAACTATAATCATAGCATATGATAACAATAATAATAATAACAATAATACTTTTTCAGCTGGGCATTTAAAAAAAAAATTAGAAGGGATATTTTCCAATTTTTGACAAATTTAATCTACATAAAACTCAAACTTTCTTCAGTTTAGGCCCAGTGGATATAGAGTGGGTTGTCCCCAAATAGAAAGTTTAGATTATTAACATAACAGTATAATTATTCATAGACAGCTACAGTGATTGGCTAGCAGCACCCCCTGACCTGAGACACATTACCACAGCAGAGAACAAACATCAGAGTCAGAATTTGATAGAATAAGTCGACTCTGGAACCTGAACTTAACTCAAGTACCTCTTGTTAACTTGTTGCAGACATTTCCACCACATCGCCCCATCTTTCTCTGTGGATGTGGTTTGCTTGTTGTCATGGAGAGGCGACAGTTGTTGTTGATCCCCAGTTAGATGTGCTCATGTTGCGACATCACACAGAGGAGCTGATCTAAGTGGCTTATTCAACTATTTTATTAAACAACAATTGTGAAATTTCGTGTTTTCTCAGAATCCCTTGACAACATGTAGGCCACAGCAGAAAATGACAGATTTTTTCATGGTAAGATGCACAGACATTAAGCAGGATTTCTAAGAAGTACAAATATTATAGTAGTAGTAGTGTGGTTTAATGCGTACGGCAAATACAGATATGCAGTATCTAGAAACATGCAAGGTCCAAGTGTTTAGAATAAAACAGTTTAGCTAAAGTAGAGTTGTAACAACAGGTAGTTAAATGTCCATCATAGTGTGATTGTAGAGTAGTAGTAGTGAGATTTGATGGAGATTTGTTAAAAAAGGCTGTTTGATTATAATGCAGTTATTTCTCTGTACATGTCTTTTAAGTCAGTCTATAGATGACATAGTTACATGATTATTATAATAACATAAAAGGCAACGTGATGATTACAAATGTACATGATTCTTGTTCAGCACGAACAAAGCAAAAACATGTTAACACAAACAATTTTTTCTTTCTTCACTGATAAGTTTACTTGTAAGTTTAGTTATTAATGCAAAAAAAATACAGTACGCAAAAACTTAGTGGCAATCCAAGCAGTACAAAACATTACAGAGATTGTAATTTCATAGTTTGAAAGATACAGTAAACTCAATACCAACAGTACTGACTTCCTCCATGATGTCAGAAACTGGCGTACAGGTTTTGTAAAAGCCTTTAATGTGGTGGTGAAGTGGTTAATAATTATGTTGGGTTTGACTTTTGTATATTGAGTTTAAGGTTTGAGTTTTTTTTTATACAAGCACAGTATTCAGGATTTCAAGGTAACAATATAACTATGAAGTTTCCCTGCTTGTATTCAGCATTTTAACTCATGACAACTAAGTCCAGACAATCATGAAACAATGTCAAAATTTCCCCTTCACATTTTGGTTTCATTTGGGTGTTATATTCATTCCAACTCAATTCAAGATCACATGCTTTTGAGGAAAGGACCCAAAACAAAAACCCATCCTTAATTCATCTTTGCAAAGAACTTAGAGTGACTGTACATTAAGAAATGAAGAAGATCCTGTTATTTAAAGACACAGACGGGAAACGACGAGGAAGGAAATCCTTGTTTGATTCAACCATTGTTTAAAAACAGAGCTTGATTCTCCGCTTCATCCCGTGATGTTCTCACACTCAGACAGACTAATGGAAAAACAGCAAGATTAGGTATTTAGAACATGAGCTCTCAGAGGCTGAAAATATCTGAGATGTGTGTGTGAGCTGCAATAGTGCCACGATGCCATCTCCATCACCACGGCTGATTCACTACCTGTTTACATCCTCCATCAAAGCAGGATAATCATGTCCTGTTGTTTGAATAGATTTTAATGGAACACAAAAAAAACAAACTGCACTTATGGGATTTCTGCGACATTTTAATCATCGCTTTGCTGGGAAATATTCTCTGGCCTTGATTTTTTTCTTCAAAACAGGCAGGTGATGTGAATGAACATTAACCTCCTTGTGCTAGTGACGCAGGCAGCGATTCAGTGGGAAGTAAAACAGGAGAGCAGCTCACTCGTAATATCAGCTGTTAGTAATCAGACTTATTTACCAAGAGAAGAAAAAGCTCAGAGGCTCTCATGTGTTCACAACAACACGTCAGAGATGGTGGAAGGAAAACAGACGCAGGGTCAAGAGGTGATGCTCGCTAACACCTTCCAACAACAAAAAGGTTTTCAGAAGGGATTAGCTGCTGACTATTGGACTACTATTGGACCAGCATGCAATGCAGGAGCATCGCAGAACCAATGTGCATCGCTGTGAAGTCCATATCTTAAACATAATCCCATGTAGAGTGTGCACTCTGTGGGAGTGAGGTCCTTCAATGAGATCAATGTGACTGGATGAAGCCATGTCCCACTTCCTAATCATGAGTTCATTTTTGATTCTCACAACAAATATATCATCAGTAGGAAGTTTCAGGTTTCGTCTGCTTGTGATGGATATTCTGTCGGAGAGGAAAAAAAAGGTTTGTGTACGGGTTTTGCATGGAAGGTAGCAGGACAATAATAATAATCATAATAATCTAATAAAATGCGTTGCCTGGGAAAATATGAAACATCTCTGCATACCAATTAACAAAAAATATTTAATTAAATAATATATCCAATATACAATAAGAGAAGATTCAAATCTGTAAAATAAACCTATACAACATATCAGAACTATTTTCGATGTGTTAAATGTGTTGTACATCAGACAGTGCCATACCTTCTTTATAACATCTGCTTTTTTAGCTCTAGATGTTTATGTTGTGGGGAAGTGAACGTCCATTAACTATCTGTTCGCCATTTTACAATGTCACACATCTCCTTAATCTTGAAGCATTAAAATACAAAATTGAAGACACCTTGTTACCTGAAGCTGTCGGGGTTTCCGTGTGGTTTTGAAGTCACAACGATACGATATATAGAGCATTTCACAGTTTGAACGTAGACATATTCTAAATGTGTCCCAGGTTATTTCCAGTTGCACAGTATGTGAATGACATCAGCTGACAGGAAGTAAACATGGACCCAAGCTGTTGCCTAGCAAAGCAATTCCATTGAGTCATGCTAAAAAGGAACCTTTTAGACAGGTACATTCAGACAGTGCGAGGAAAAGAAAGAGTAAACATGCTCTAGTAGAAACCTCAAATACAAGCGTGCACTTGGATATGAGCATAATTTGTCTTCTTTAAACCAGTGAGGCCAAAGCAAAGTACGTGTCCTACTTTGCTATTTTGACCAGATTAGGGTCATTATGTCTCAGAGCTATTGATGTGTTATTGAGGCTGAGATGAACAAAAAACAAGTGACTCATAGATGCATGATGTGAATGCTGTGACCAGCCGGCTGCCTGTTGCCGAGGACTAAAAAAAGTTGTTTTTTTTTTAGCCGTGTTTTAGCCTTCTTATCCTGACGACCTCCTAATCCTGGCCTCTGCTGGGGCCTGTTGAAGGTGGAGCTGGCTGTACTTAAATCAACATGGACACAGTGTCTGTAGCCCCTTTCCCACTGGACAAAAACCCACCATAGAATGATGAGTCGATGAAGCGGATGAATCTGAGAAGACTGGGTGGAGATGGGGAGGTGGAGGGGTGCGTAACAGCAGCATGAACATTCTGAAGGTAGAGAGACAATCATATTTAAAAAGACACAGCAGCAGGATGATCGACTAACAATGTCATTGTTTCGTTGTGCTATTGGATAAAGGAAAGCTGATCTAAACAACCGATATCATGATTGACAGCCCCGAGCAATGACAGCAAGGACATTATGAGTGAGCATGTGTGAGGAGTGATTTTATGAGAAATAACTACGGGCTTAAGCATGCAAGAGTATAGTCTCCCTGACTGAGCTAATGCTAGCGCTTCATGTGGTGTTTAAAATCAACTTCCTCCACACATATGAAGAGTTTATGTATTTAGATCTGATGTGGTGGTGGTGGTTCATTCTTTGAATACACTCAAAGGAACCTTAACGTTTTGCACGTTTTAGTTTTTGTTATTGCAAAGATTATTTATTTACTTTAAATCACAGCTAACCATTTTGCAGATGATGCTGCTGTATTTAAGATGAACCTGCTTTTTTCCTACATTTTTTTTCTTACATTTTTCCTACAGTAGGAATAATTCAGCAGGTTCATTTAAGGTCGGTTCATCCCACAAGGTAAACAGTACATCCAAAAAAATGTATGAGGAAAACATACATTTTGATTTAATGTTGTTTTTATACTATTGTTTGAATAATGTCGTTTTGTGCTGCTTTTATAAATGTATTACATTTTAATCCAGACTTGGTTACAAAGCTGAAGCTAGTGTCAACAATCTTATAATCAATTTTCATACTGCACAAAGATCGATGGACACCAGTAGCTGTCATGGCCAAGAGGGAAAATGCAACGAAAAACTACATATCGGCATCACAAAATGGTCAGAAAATCTGGAAAGTACACATGATTTGCAGGTGAGGAGCCATAACACCGGTATGTTCTTACAACCATCAACCCACCAACAAATACTGAGCACTTTAAGTCACTGGCTACCATTTTCCAAAGCACACCAAGTATTTAGACAGATTTATTCCAACAGGCATTGGTTTCCATTCATTTTACCGACGCATCATTTGTGCGAGAGCTGAAACTTGCTTGAACAATTTCCCGCCATTTAGTTTTCTGTTCAAGTGACGTGCAGTCAAGTAATCTGAGGATGCCGCTTGGAGAAAGAACTCTTCCGTAGCGGTGCCTTCAAGGAAGCATCAACATCCGATAGTTACATGTTGGCTGTCAAAAAGCGTTGATTTCACAAGCTCTGTTGTCAGGAAATCAGATTCGGAAGACGAACAATAAGCAAACATGGACTTCCTGGAAATGAATCTGAATTTGGCATTAAAACATTAAACATTAACATTAAAAAGCTGCTTGGCAGCAGTCTCTTATTAAGTGGTTTCAGGGCAACAACAATGTACAATGATAACAAAAAGACAACACAATGAAAACATGACTAAATGTGTTAAATGCTAAATAAAACATATAAAAACAATAAAAACGTGAAACATTTAAGCTGTTTAAATGATCTTGTAGCCAGTACAAGGCAGAACAACTCCCAAACAGCTGATAGACACCATGACATGTTATTGAATTGATACAGCTAACATGTTAGCTACCTACACAGCCAACAAACACAACAAACACACAACAACACTGAAGTCTTGTTTCTGGTCACCTGGAAAATGTAAAATCATTATTCCCCGGCTTTTTAAGCTCTCTGGTTTGGTCTCCACCAACTCTTGTGAAAAATAATCTGTTGTTTTCGTTGATAGACGCTCAACGTTCTCAGCAGATCGTGGCCATTTTGTGTCCTTTTTTGGGGGGGTTCAATAGATCCCTTTCACATCACAAGTAGTCATTTTATTTAATGTTAATTTTATAACAGGTATGGTAAGCAATGGTGGAAAGTAACTAAATACATGTATTGAAGTACTGAACTTAAGTACAGTTTTTAAGGTACTTGTACTTTACTTGATTATTTCCATTTTATGCTACTTTATACGCAAATATTGTACCTTTTAAATCATTCCATTTACTTTAAAGCTTAAGTTACTTTGCAGATTCAATTTAATAATACAAAATATAAATGAACTGATAACTGATGATGTATTACTACAGGCTAAACTACCCATTAGTATATAAAGTAGTTAAAATCAGCTCCACCTTTACCAGACGATTCTTTAATGCATCAATAACTAAACAATAATATAATAACATTATTCTGAGCGGACCATCCTGCATAATGAGCACTTTTACTTTTAATACTTTAAGTATATTTTGATGCCAATACATTTGTAATTGTAATTAAGTCAAATTTGAATGCAGGACTTTCTACATTGAAGTTTTGCTACTTTTACGTGAGTAAAGTATCCGAGTACTTCTTCCGCCACCAATGGTGACCCTGATGTCGACTTTGGTACAGCTTAGTGCAAAATTTGGTGTTTGATGAGGCTCACAAGGAAATAAAAACGTTTAAATGTAGCAAAAAGAAAATAAAGAAAAGTGGGTGGCAATTTAAAGTAGACAAGATTCATGGTAAACAGCCTGAAACATTGAAAAACCCACCGATGGGGTACTTTAACTGCCACTCACAGCAACAGGTGCATTAGTTTATATTGTTTCTTCTACGGTAATGACATCCTGTAAATGTGCTTAAAACGATCAGCTCACTACAGGGAGCGATTAAAGCGCTCCTACAAAAGCCTGAAGCTGCATGCAGCCGCATTAATGACAAGCACACTGTACCTAACTCCAACATGAAGGTATGTCGGTATAGCACCCTGTTTGAATGTGACAGCAAAAACAACAGGGCCAGGGTTCAGAGTGATAAAGCTGACTCACTGTTATTGTGAACACACTGTGACATACCGGTGGTTATTGCTGCAAGTCTGCAGTATCTATAAGAGTTGAAGGAGATATGTGTGAGGTAAATACAAGGAGTTTCAAATTGATAACACTTTTTTTTTTTTAAAGCATGGCAGTGTGTGTGAAACAGCCGTTGCACGCAGGCAGCCGCACTCATCCCCGAGTTAATCGTCAACTACATGTGCTAGGAAGTCATATGAGGAAACATTGGTGGTCTGCATATAGAACATGGGAACGCAGGCATTGTGGCAGAGGTTAGTGACAACACACAGGTTCACACAGACCTGTTTGACTGGAAGAACAATGAGGGTTCACACATGATTCATTCCAGGGCTCTTCCTAGACGCCAGTACGCTACACGTCTCCACCACAGGAAAAGATGCTGCCGTGTGTCAGGGCCGAGTGGGACATCCACCACTGGGCCCACTTCCCTTTCCCACTGCGTCAATGGTTCTAAAGAAAGATTTCTTCCTGCTGACAGTTAAAGTATTCGCAAAGACAATACGTTACGTTTTGTGGCCCGAGCTTGATGGATGCGCTGCCTCTCTGAGGTTAATGGACACTCACATTTATAGTGTCGGTGCTGTGGACCATGTATGGCCTGCAGCCAAGACCAGGAGGCCGGTTTTCAAACATGTAAGCACTCTTCCACTCTCATGCACCTAATTGAAGCCTGGAAAGTAAATGTGCTATGACAACGACTCTGCATCACAATACATTCCAGCAGCTCCCCCCAAATTGTCACATGGCCTCTTTTCATCCCCAACATGAGCACAAAGAAACGATGGGGGGGGGAAACTCTAGCGGGGCCCTCTAGAGGGGTCCTTGCACGCACGCGCACACGCCTTGGAAGTGATCAGGTAGCTTCTCTAAAGCGCTCAGCAAAGTTTCTCTTGTTAAAACATGCCCAATCCCTTCCCTGCCAGAGAGCTGTTAATCCCAACAAGGCTGTGAGCCCCTAATTCCCGGAGAGTTGTAGCCCGCTGTTTGTTGAGGAGTTCTGTAGCTACAAGCACTGGAGGCTGCAAGTTACAACATCCACCCCCTCTGCCTTTTAGTGCCAGGAGTGCTTCACATGGGGGGAAAAAACTAAAAACATTATATGTCAAACGTGTCTGCAAGCCTTTACATTTAGAGGGAGCTAAAATCAAAGTGTGATATAAAACTGTAGCAAGGTGGTCATCTTTCTTTGACCGTCATCTAGATTTTTGAAGGTACAGTATGTACATTATAAGAGACCCGTTCTACTAAACCACCACCTCGGTGCCCAGTGCTGTTAGAAAGCTTCTTATGAGTCAATGAGCATGGATTACAGTTAAGAGTCTTATTATTATCTCCTCTATCCCGGGTTACAACCACGCAGCACCTGTTGCTCCACTTTGACGACTTCATGGCATCCCAGCCGATAGAAGGAAACACCGGCGAGACAGACCGCTCCGGCACGCAGACATTTTTCTATAGACGTAGAGGGAAATGTCCCACGAGTGGCTGACGAGTCTTCGCCGTTTGTCCAGGTAGACCGAGCTCTTTCAAAAGCAGGAGGGAAAGTGATGTGAAAGCACTATTAATCTCTTGGAGGATCACCTTTTCATACACCAGACAACAGTTTCTAAATAAAACTGACATTAAGTTTTGAGCACATGAACGCTCTTGGTAGTATGTTTTTGTGCGCGCGCGCGCTCAGCAATCACTTAAAGTAAACATCTATTTACCACAGAGAATGATGAAAAAGAATCATAAAAATCACATTTCTCTCCCCTCAGCAGCTTTTAATAATAACTTCTATTATTCTGTGAAATTGCTGTATATCGGATCGAACCGCCCTCGCCGAGTACACACGTGCTCAGGGGAAAGCAGGGTGGTGGCCTTGTTCAGGGTTTCTGCCAGACTTTACTACTGCCTCCATGTGGCTTTAACAAAGACCACAAAGTAAATAAGCTTAGGTCTGTGTATTAATAACAGTCGAGTATACACAGCCTCTAAGTGGAGGAAAGCATTTGAGCCTCAATAGAACTCAGAAAGGCAGGATTACTACACAAACATCCAACATGTTGGAGCATTAAATAAAAAGTCTGGTGTTGTGAATAGTAAGTAAAAGCTGAACGGAGTAGAACTGTTTGTAGTGGATCTAATGGGATTCAGCAGACATCAAATTCAGGATCCGCATTTTAAACACTAAAAGGAATTATGAATTGGAAAAATAAACCTGAATGATACGTGAAGTATGGTGAACACCCCAAAACCCACAAAGGCAAACTCAAACATTTCATTGTACAATAAACCTTTAATAAATAGTTTGTCATTAGTTTCCCATATTTACATAATAACCACCATTTACTTATGTTGCCACACTCATTTCTTGGCTAATTTAGGCACACAAAGAGAGAGAGATAGAGAAAGAGAGAGAGAGAGAGAGAGAAGGGGATTCAGGCCACAAACCACATCGTACTAAAAACAGGAGTGGCCAGCAGGTAAGTCTTGAGAAATATAGAATAATTGCACCATACAACCAAATAGAGCCAAGAGGCGGCCATCTCCTTGAGCAATAAATATATACACTTGATGTACATACGAGGAATTTTGGTACATTTACAGTCGTCTGCTTGAAAGCGGTACGAGTGCACGTGGGGCTGGTGCAGAATCTTACCAGTTTTAGTAGGATCTGAATTCATGGGTTTACCAATGTGTTGGTCCAATAAATGTTAAATAAAAAAAGTATGATATTCAGAGATTAAATCAACATCAATGGCCTTCTGTCTAGTAACACCCCTTCTGAAATAATAACTCAAAAGTCAAATGTTGGGGGTGTAGCGCGGTCATGTACAGCTTGGCTTTGTTATCATCTACTGATACAGCGGGGAAAAATATCAAATATAACGAACCAGTGAAATGCTTGTTATTAAATGAAGATTGAAATCAAAAGAGATCAATGGACAAGAATTCAGCCAAAAAATTAAGAAAAGAAAAAACAAGAGAAAAATATTCAAATCACTCAAGTGAACAAGCACACATACGAAAACCAGAACAAAATTGGCACAAAATATATCACGTACACTTCTCTTCAGATAGATGTTAAACAGCATGAAACCCATTGTAAGCTATTTATCCAAACCAGGTCAGATTTGGCTATTTAAATGCACTTGAGGCATTTTATAAATCAACTTCTGAAATTTGGAACATGTACCAGTTGCTGAACAAACTAGTATGCGAACAAAGGGAACACAGCGTCACTGATGCAGCCACCAAAACCAGGAGCAGTTCATGTTCAACCAGCGCCGCCTACTGGCAAGAAAGATAACAGCAGCACATTAGACCTGCAGACAGATGTGTGCTGATGTGCACCACCCACAGCAAAGAAACACAATACATGCAGTTATGACACCCGTGTGTGTATTTAATGTTTTACATCCTGCTACATTATATTTAACATGTTGACTGGATCATACTTCTTATCAAAGCCCTCCTGGTTACTTTGAAGGTTAATAGAATTTGTTGTTTTTGTGGGAAAGTTTCTCTAAATAATTCTGTGTAGTTTTGCGTTGTTGATAATAGGCATTGCTTGATTAGGATGCCAGCACTGTTATGTTTTTATGAATGAATTGAATGTTGACTGACACTTAATGCTCCATTTTTACTCTATCGTAGTGAACGGGTGTTTGTGGAAAAATGTAAAACCTTAAAAAAAACAACATCTTTAAAAAAGACAAATGTGAAACTGTAATAGCTGCCAAATTTGTAGCAGCTTTTACTTTCCTTGTCTCAAACCAGTAAGTCTAAACTACTGAAGCCTGGTAAATGTCAGTTTGAAGCCAGCTCCTTGAGGCGCTTGAGATCTAAAACTTTTACCATTTGTTTGTTACGGTTTGGGACATTTGCAGTGCCTGTTAATAAGCGCTTGTACGGGGCTTCTGTGAAACCGTTTCATTCTTCATATTACGCCTGTAGAAATGTGTATCCGCCACTTCACATCAGACTCAACCTTTGAATTATCTACCGCAGCAGCACGAGTGATGTTCTGTTCAACCCAATGATATTAATTCAAAGACTCCGTATTAACAGTCGGCGCCAACACTGACGTGCCGATAGCGACGCTCTAGCTCCAGAGGCTTGTCAAATAAAAACATGGTTCTGTAAGTTCTGATGGTGATGCATGCCGGGAAACAAAGCAACAGAAAGGGCATGAAAACAAAAAAGGAATAAAAAGTTTGTAACTGCTCCGATGGGAGCGATAGCGCACGATTACAGAGCCTTTTCAGACCTCGGTCTTCATACAGGTTATTACGTAATTAATATATATACATTTATATATATATATTAATTCACTTCGAGGCAACATTTGTTTGACTAAAAACTTGAAGCACAACTAGCCTTCAGTTCGAACAGAGAAAAATATACAACCCAAACTGTACTACTAATCTAGAGAATGGCAAGTAAACACTGAAAAACAGCTTCCGCTAATAAAGTGGTCTCTCTCGCACACTTCTCTCTGTCAGAAGTGTGATGTTTAAACAAAGTGTGGTCTTAAGAAGCTGCTTTTTTTAAATTTGTTTTTTTTATTTGAACTGGTTGACCCGTCCTGACCTAGATTAGACAGGCGCCTCTCCATACACTGGTTTGCAGAAACTCCCCTCGTAGGTGAACAGTTGCTGCTGTGCATTCAGAGGAAGAACTGTGTTCCCTTCTCGGACGCTTTAACAGAGACGAGCATCAGAACTGAATTTAGCTCGTGAAAAACCAGCAGACGAGCGCTCAACCCACTGTTTGTCACACTCCCGTTGAACAAACAGACAAAGTTGCCACGTCACTGGCTACAGAAGAATATGAAGAATCACACAGGTATTTAGTAACATTTGATATCCACCCCACTCGCACTCTGAACCAAATCACTCCGCTTCTGTTTTACACCGGGAGGGGACAAGCTGTTGTATGCTCCACTCTGTTACCGCTTTATAGAAACCAAGGATTAGAGTCCAGCTCAGCAAGACACACACACACACACACACACCTTTCCACTGCAGCCCAAAAGAATACTCAACACAATCTCTTCATACAGGGTCTTTAGAGAGTCCTCATAACACCCCGCTTTAAAAAAAAGAAAGAAAAAGGGCCGCCAAGGGATGAGTGCCCACTTTTGTGCCGTGGACACAAACACCTCTTCATGGCACTTTGAGTCTGATGTGTGCCTGAGGTGAGAGTGTGTCCGTGTGGTTAAATGTGTATTTCTGTGTGTGCGGGGGTGTTGGGTTGGAGCGCTGTCTGCCCCCCCTTAGCTGTGGTTATACACTGCTGTCCTCCAGCAGCGGCTCCTTGCCCTCAGCCCCGCTGCCTTGAGGGCTGTGGGAGTGACTCTGGGCCCCGTTGCTGTGCTTCTTATAGGCGCCGGGCCTCTGGCCGGGCCCCGTGTGCTCCGGGATAAACAGGGCCACCAGCAGGGACAGCAGCACTGAGCATGCACCAAACAGGAAAGGAGGACCTGGGATGATGGCACTCTGAAAAGAGAGAAACATGTTTGTTTAAGCACAGCTACCAGATGTGCCATTTACTCTTTTGTATGTGGAACAGCATTGAGTGTACCTCATCAGTGGGGTTGGCCATGTTGGGTTTGGCACCTTTCTCAGAGCCGTCCGTGTCGGTCAGCTCCACGTGGAACAAGTAGAAGACAAAACCGTAAAGAGCAGGGCCCAAACCGTTACAGAGGCCCCGGATTCCAGTAATCATCCCCTGGACAACACCTGCAGGGTGACCGATATGAACAACACCGTCAGGAACATCTCGAACAGATATTACATTTCAGCAGCCAATCAGAATGAGTTATTTGTCAAATAAAAATGTATGATGTAGATCAACTAGCTGGACAGAAGTGCATACTTGTGTTTATCCCTCCTCTTGCTGGTGTATCAGTGTGCAACATGTGGGCACAGACGCCCTCTTTGTCAACAAATGAAAAGTGCACTGAACTTAAATACTTTTTATGTACAGACAGCAACGTGTGCATTGCATCTGGAATGGAAAACTGGAATATTAAAGCAACTAAAGGTAGCATTGAATGTAGGGTCAAATACTTAGCTGTGTTCACTTTTACTGTGATTAAATATTCAATCATTTAAACAATAACTTAGCTTATTTAAGACTGTGTTTCAGCTATGCATGAAGTTCATATGGAGCGGTTTGTGTTGAGACATAAATAAACACTGATGCTTGCTTATTACATCAAACAGATGTTAACAGTCGAGTGACTCACCTTGTTGGTCAGGTTCTGCATTACGGGACACGATGGCGCTGATGGCGGGGAAAGTGATGCTGGACATGGCTGCAACCGCTCCAGCAGCCCACATCATCCTACAACCAACAACACACGCTCGTTCAGGATACAAACAAAAGGTTTTTTAACCCTTCAAGAATTGGATTAATACAAGTCCTAGAAGGTTTTTTTTACGCCTACTATGGCTTAAAAAAAACAACAACCCAAAAAACTCTGAATCAATTGTGGAAAATGTGCTTCTGTAACCAAACTGCAGCAATATATAAAAAAGCAGCGACTGAGCCTCAGAGTCAAAAATGTGAAATGCCAAAGCTAATTTTGAGATAGTTGTACCTCCTATTCAATTCATGAAAAACCGTTACCGATACCGTTTTTTCTTTGTGAACATGGAACAGCCTGACCTTTATTTAACTCAATTTCCTGGGTGTTGATCAAAGCAGAGCGCAGCAACAAGACAACATGTTGTGAATGCTTTTATTCAGAATCCATATGACGGGTCACTCTGCCCTCACCGCTGGGCAGCGACAACAAGAGAAACTGACGCAGTTGCTATGATCTATGACCTGTGTGTGTCAGGGTGCTGGTTGTTTAGTAAAAGCATCTTTTGAAACATTAGTTGTCCTACCGCTTTGATGTTTTGAAAGGCACTGAATCTCAAAGTGTAACTTCCATGACAGTAAAGTGCCTGTGCAAAAGAAAATCATTTTACTTTGGTCACGCTAAATATTTTGAGTTACAACACTATATTGATGCCTTTTCTAGAGTCTCAGTTATCAGATTACTGTCTCACCAGCTTTTGAATATGGCTATGCTGCCCTCTGGTGGTTTGTCAGAGCATTACAACAGTGAACAATAACAAGAAACTAATGCAAAAGATGGGAATAGTCCCTGTGTGTGCAGTGTTAACTCGAGGATTGGACCTGAGACGCGTTGGAGGTTGTTGACTCGGATTATAGATTCTGGTTGATATCCGACCGTGCTTTAGCTTCTTGACTATTATTTGATTAACGTTGAAAGCAAACATTTGTCAAAAAAGGTATTTTGTGATTATTTTTTACTTGGAAGTTTAAAAAAAGAGAAATAGAAACTCTATCTTGCCATGCACAAGTTAAATATTTTCTGTTTTACTGGGGTTGAACGAGCCACCATCATCTGATTCAAAAGTGTTATGCCTACGACTGTGGTTTTGCACAATGCTGCAGGAAATGCCTCGTCATATTAGACTTCCTTCCTTGCTTGCTTGTTTGAATTATACTGCTGTGTGATCACATTTATCCGTATCACCTCCATCTGAAGCTTGCACATGCGTCTGAACCTGAGCTGCAGATGGAGGCACGGAAAACCAAACTTTGCTTTCAGGAATCGAAAAATATATTTCTCAATTGATTTCTGGTTCTTAGAGTGTGGGGTGTCGGCCCCTTCGAATGAATGCAGTGGAAAGGCGAGCGTGTGTTAGACATTACTGACCAGGGCTGAGAGCCGAAGCCGTACCACGCCAGCTGGAGGATCTGGAAGCCGAGGCCGAGCAGGATCGTGTTCTTATTCCCGATGGAGCGCATCAGGATCCCCAACACCACCGTCTGCAGAACCACAGTACACAGGTCACACAAGTAACATCTAAGGAAGCGTAATGTAGCAAATAGTTTGAATCATTCTCAATGCCCTGGAGTCTTTGATTAATCTACAGACAGAAAAGTTATCTGCAGCAATATTCAAAATAAACTACCCACTCAAATGTTAAAATTGGCTTCTGTGATAGAAATAACAGTGTCTTCAATTTGCTTGTTTTTTCTCTCAAAATCAACCCAAAGTTATTCAGTTTACTGTCTACTCTGTTCACACATCTGTCATGTCTGTCTATCCTCAGTTAAAAGGTTTTTGTGGAGTTTGTCCTGATCCACACTGACTCTAAGGACACAGGGTGTGGTACGCTGCACAGATTCTAAAGTGCTGTGATGCAAATTTGTGATATACAAATCGAATTTGACTGGACTTCAACTTTCGTCAACATGGGCTCTGCAAAATGTCTGCCATGTTAGAAAACACTTAAGAGTAACAATAATAAAACTCCAAACACGAGGAGGAGATGGCTCAATTTGACATGTAATTCAAACAGCAAAAGTGTTTTTCAGTACCTGGGCTATTATTGAGAGGATCCCCACCACAGCGATAAAGGCAGCCACTGTCTCTGATGAGAAGCTTATGACCTGAGGGTGAGACAGCGTTCAGATAACACGAGTCAGGACATGAGAAGACAAGCACAGTCAGAGACACACAAGACAAGTTGATCAGACACAAAACACTAAAGGAAGAAGAGGGTTTGTTTGTGCCGTTTTGTAAACATGCGCAGTGTACAACTGCATTTTGGAACAACAAAAAGGTGCTCATCTTTTCTATCTAGGTCAAATATGCTGCCCAATGCAGGCAGCCTCAGGAGTAGGGCAGCTGGTGCGAGGTGTGTTTAATTTATGACAGTGAATGTGGAGAAATATACGATAACTTCGGCATGAAAGGGAACTGGAATGTGTGAAGAGTAATGCGAGCCTCAACACTCCAGAACCACTTTGCGGTTAGTTTTTTTTAAGATTGTATGCATTTCAGACTTGCCCGACTGGTTCACCCGACATCGTTTACACAAACTGAACAAAAAAAAAAAAAAGGAGGTCACGGCAGGAGCTTCTAGAAGCTACTGTACCTTTAAAGAACGACGGAACAAGTCTAATTCAGGCTACTTGTGCTATTAAAATACATCAGTTTTCCTGCGGTAGCATTTTGCTGAGACACCTAATGAATTTGCTCCCACGCTGCTGAGCAAACCTGCTGATCCAATTTTAAAGTGATGTAGGAACAAGTGTGTTGGGAAAAGCTCTTCAGAAACGTGTTTTCCAGCTTTTTATTAGCAAAACAAAATGGCTTAAGTATGCCGCTGCCATATTAATACCAAACAACGACTTCATGTAAGAAAGCAGTCTCCATTTCAAATATCACAATAATGAATTAAATGACAATTCCATGTCACATTTGTATGAGTATGTGCTATTAAATGTGGTGTAAAAGTGTACATGACGCGTGTAAACAATGTTCGTTTGGATAACCTGCGTGTTTAACTCAGTCATGTTTATGATCTTCCTGGAAGTGTAAAAGAGCACAGTGTTACCTGTCTGAGATAGAGGAAGAAGCTGGAGTACTGGCCGGCCTCGGGGAGGTAGGAGAGGAACACTGTGATACAGATGAGGAGCACCGTGGAGTCCTGGCCCACCTTACGCAGAGACTGTTAAGAGAACAGCAAGACAGACATGAGCAATGTTAGCGGAGACCATTTAACATTGTCTCCTACTTTAATAAGCCTTAATTAAAACGTCTCCTTGCCCAATGCCCTACCATAATCACCATGATATTTTAGATATCTTCCAAAGTCATATTTACTTTAGGACAACATTTCCTCTGTTTCTTGTTTTGTTTCTCTGGACAGTGTTTTTTGATGAGTCACCCTCATACTGCCAACTATTAACTTACTTACACACAGGTGCTTGGTGAGAATTATGTTTTTGACTGAACTTTTTTTTATACGAGGTGACAAAGACGTGAAGTGCCTTACTGAGCTGGGAGGCTTCCTGCAGCTACTTCTATACAAACAGTGTGGCATGACTGACATTAAAAGCTTTTGTGCACAGTAAAGCCTCATTGGTCTTTTTATTGGTAGAGAGATTAATTGTAGGAGATGAAACTTTCATCCCATGTCTCTCGTTTAGCTTAAATATCTTTTATTCATTTCCATCCAGGTATTGAAGAAGAAAAAGACGACTAGTCCCAGAGTACTTGGATGTCAAAGCGCGTGCAGGCTACACTAAATGCGTAAAGGTTGGCAGGTTTGCAAAACAACAACAGAGCTGATGAAACACACTGCAATCAACTGCTGTTTGGTGAGAATACCGGGTCACAGCAGACTGAAAACGACCAACAGAATGTGTCACGTTGTTACTCACAGCGAAGGGGTCTGCCTGTTCCCAGGAGATGGGTGCTCCCCATGACGCTGGCCTCATCTTCTCCGGCAGCGACTCTGGTACGGCCACCAGGATGAAGCAGATGTCCAGTAGGGCAATGGCCGTGGCCAGGATCACCACCAAGGTGTCGCCGTAGGTCACCGATAAGTAGGCTCCGATGGCCGGGCTGGTAACCAGGCTGGCTGCAAAGGTGGCGGATACCTGGAGGGAGCGAGATGCAGAGCTGAGCCAAACAGGAAGGTGTCAATCTCGTCTTTTAATGCATTTATAGTTTCTAATTGTTAGGACTCTTTGGTTGATAACTACAGGCATAATTCCTCACTGATAAACTGCCTCATAATCATCCATTTAAAAGACACATATCTTAACAGGACTCTGTTTTGGTGAACCATGTCCTTACCAAACCGTAGGCTGTGCTCCTCTCATGCTCCTGCGTGATATCCGCCACGTAGGCAAAGATTACAGAAAAGGTGACGGCAAAGACGCCGGACATGGAGATTACTGCAAAGTACCACCTGAAAGAATAAAAGTGTTTGGCTTTTAACATTGTCATTTTACATTTGTGAAGTTTGTGGTGTTGTTAACTGGTCATTTTGGGGCTGTAGTTTATTCTGTTGTTGCATTACAGTACTTCACCGGCTACCTAAAAACAAGACTGAATAATTGGATAGCGCTGTTGGCGTTTTTGCACTCACCATGGGCTGATCTTCATCAGTGGAATGGGTGCACACGTGAAGAAGACCGTTAGCAGCAAGAAGGATTTGCGTCCCCAAACGTCTGACAACGCTCCAATCAGCGGAGCGCTGAGAAATGATAATAGGCCCTGGAGAGGATGAGAGAGAGAAAGGGAGGCAGATGTTTCAGAAAAGTGTGGACAACGCGAGTGAAGTTAACACTCAGATTCACAGGGACTGTGATTCAAGTACACGTACCCTGTCAACACAGAAACCTGCAGGTTTGGTTGAGGGCAACGTACAAAACATTACTCTAATCTATGTATGATTGATTACTGGCCTTGTGGCTCACTCACAAGCAAATTCACACCAGCCACAGATGTAAAACGTTATAGCCATACTGGCATGAAAGCAACCAATATCTATTGTTTAGGCAATTTAAAGTCGTTTATATGGTCTGGAAAGTCTGATATCACCAGGCTGTTGTAGCTGGCAGACTTGGAAAAAAAAATATTTTCCTACTCTAAATAAAGACAATAACAAAGGACCTAGAGCTTGCTGGTTTGAGGTCTGTTTTGAAGTAAAAACAAAAACAGATGATCTTTGAAATGTTGTCATCTGGCTAATAAAAGACAGTTATTTAGTATTTTCTTTTTCTTTTCTGTGTGACCACAAAATGGTTTTATCATAAAAAAATAATTATTCACAAACATGCCTAGGCCATGCGTAAGCACACTTTACACATGGATGTACGTACAATAATTGTGGCGGTTCTCATCTTAGGCTGACAGATCAGGTGGTCCTTGTCCTCCTCCACCCGTTTCCTTTTTTGGCTTTCACACTTGTACAACAACTTCACCGCTTTCACCACGATACAACTCTCGGTATAGGTAACGTATATCCTTTAATAGAGAAATGGGGGCGTGGCAATATGCCAATTGCAAATAGCAGGCACGCACGTGTCAATTTAGAATGTCTGTATTTTGCATGTGTGTGCAAAGTAGTACGATTTCTACGCGCATATTACCGAATGGGCCCCAATGAAAACAGAAAATCTAAAATAATTACAAGCATGCACTCTCCAACTATCTTTAGACAGACTCCTCATATGGACCATGAAGGTGCACTCTATGATATATTCTGTAGCCAGCTGGAGAGCCTGCTGGGGTAACGGGACAGCTTGCAGGTGTTCACATGGAACTGCATCAGAGTTAAGCAGGGCGTCACTGAACAAGAGAGCACATGCTCAGCAAAATCCTCCAAGTGCAAATAAAAGCAAAACAAACTTGCTGAAGAACAATGTTTATTAACAGCTGCTGTAGTGCTAATACCCACTGCTGGCATGCCTTACTGTATGGCTTTTTGTTACCTGAAATATATCGTGTCACCGCTATATTGCGGTCATAAGAGACAGAATACTCTGTCTGTACTATTAACTTACCTTGACACCATGGATAAGTCCATTCATCAGGAATGTGTGTTGGGGGAATGTCTGGTGTAATACCTGGAGAACAAACACAGAGAACGCCGCATGAAACCACGTTATCCACACAGTTTGTGTCACATTTTAAAACAATGACCTACAGTGTTTTTACAGAGTTAAACTACAACTAGAGAGCAAAACAACTATGACTCCTCTACCAAATGATGAGAAAATAAAACATGAATTCAATCATTAAGGTCTATGGCAGGATGTGTAAGCTTGTCACTGTAATGAAAAACAAATATATTGTACGTGCACTTGATAAGATAAATATCTTATATTTTATACACAGGGATATGACCCACATGTTGAGAATCATTAACCATTTCACATAATTACCAGGAAAACAAATAAAAGCACATAAACAGAAAATATGGACAAATTGTGCATATTTACTAAAATACATTCACCTCTCTCTCCTCTTTCCATTTTAAAACTAGAACAGATTCCAAAGATCTCATTTTTAGCACAGTTTTTAAATAAAGAAAACACTTGATGAAAAAATAAGATAAAAACAAGATAAAAATACACAGAATGCATAACTTGAGATGGAAAATTAAACGCACCGCAACGCAATAATAATATTACAATCCGCACCCATATTTGCAGCATGTAAACACTGCAGCAGCATCAAAAGGTCTTCATTATTTTCTACTTCTGTAGTAGAAACTCTCGAGTGCACTCACTACCAAATGTAGTGAAAAGCTAGGATCCCTCTGCAGATAAACATTAGTCATTCCTCATGAGAGCGCTACATCCTGTTACATTAGTCAGAAAACCAGAGTATAGATTTAAATAAATTGTCGGCGCAATTATCCCACAGGAGTTGTACCAAATATGTTTTGTTTTCTGAAACAAATAGTCCACACTAAGCTACAACGCATCAAGAGATAGAAATTCACCAGGAAGTAAAGTTGAAGATGTTTTACTCCCACCTGACAGACAAAGTCACACATTCTCAGTTGTTTGAGCAGTCAAGTGACCTAAATAGTTTTAGGTTTTGGTCTGTACTAACAGGCGACATCCAGGCGTCCAGCTGATAACGGCAGTGCTGAAGCGCAGCAGCCCCCCTACTGTTCCTACTAGTAACCACTGTTAGCTCTGCCAGCACTTTTGCCGTTGTTTACACTATTAGCAACGTTAGCAACAAGATACCAGCTCGGCTGTCTCCATGTTGAGAGCTGATAAGATGCAATAGAAATGCTCCCAATCTTGTATATAGCACCTTCAATGAAACAATAAAATGTAAACAATTAGATTTTTAAAGCTTTCTTATGAACTTTTCAGTTTTTGATGATGCTTGGTTTACCGCTGTGGTCTCACAAAAAAAAACGTGTGTAAGAATGGGTAAAAGTTGTGTGAAAGCGCTTAGAGTGGAAGACTAGAAAGGCGCTATATATAAATGCAAGTGCATTTACTAAGTACATTTAAGTATTTCAGGATATGTTCAGACATGTTCTTACAATACCGTATATTTGTGAGAATGCAGAGGGGGAAAAGATAGTCCAGCTCAAAGTCCGTACCGTCAGTGTCATTGACACTGTGAGAACATGAAGCCTTGGTTTAAATTAGGACATCTGGAGCTAGACTAAGACTAAATAACAGGAACTAGTTATTGATTAGTGGTACAGAAGGAACAGCTCATGGCATGGCTGAGAATCTCCTCTCTTCCTCTGGGAGTCAGTTACCCAACACACACACACACACACACACACACACACACACACACACACACACA